TGCCCGACGTTTTGATGGGGTGGTTTGTTTCTTCTGTAAATTTGTGTTGATGGTCTTTGTGTATTCTGATATAAGGATATGAACAGACATTTCTCAAAAGAAGACATTCATACAGCCAACAGACACATGAAAAAATGCTCATCATCACTGGCCATCAGAGAAATGCAGATGAAAAATTATTAACAAAATGTTAGCAAATTGAATCCAACAATGTATAAGAAGGCAAACACAGGGCTGGGTGCAGTGGCTCACGCCTGTAATCCCAACACTTTGAGAGACCAAGATAGAGGATTGCTTGAGACCAGGAGTCCAAGAGCAGCCTGGGCAACATAGCAAGGTTTCATCTCTACAAAAAAACAAGAAATAATTAGCCAGGTATGGTGGTGCACACCTGTAGTCATAGCTACTCAGGAGGCAGAGGCAGGAGAATTGCTTGAGCCCAGGAAATCAAGATTGCAGTGAGCCATGAGTGCCACTGAAGAAAAAGATAAGAAAGGGAACAGAAAGGGAGGGGAGGGGAGGGGAGGGAGGGGAGGAGAGAGGGACAGAAAGAAAAGTAACTTCCTCAGCTCAATAGGAGCATCTATGAAGCATCTATAGCTAACGTCATACAAAATGGTGAATGGTTGAATACTTTCTTCCTAACATCAGGAAGGCAAGGATGTTTAGTCTCACCACCTCTATTCAGCATTGAACTAGAGGTTCTAAACAATGCAGTAAGGTAAGAAAAAGACATTAAAATTATCCAAATTGGGAAAAAAGTAAGAGATCTTTATTCACAACATAATCTTCTATGTAGAAAATACTGTGGAATCTACTCAAAAAAAACAGTCTATGAGAACTAATAAATAAGGTTTCCAGATACAAGATCGATATACAAAAATTATTTGTATATACTAGCAATGAAAAATTAGAAATTGAAATTAAAAGACAATGCCATTTACAATGACATCAAAAACGTTCATACTTAGGTATAAATCTGACAAAAGAGGTATAAAAGACCTATATACTACTATAAAACATTGCTGAGAGCCCAGTGTGGTGGCTCACACCTGTAATCCCAGCACTTTGGGAGGCCGAAGAGAGACCAGGAGTTCGAGACCAGTCTGGCCAACCTGGTGAAACCCATCTCTACTAAAACTACAAAAAGTGGCCAGGCATGGTGGCGCATGCCTCTTTAATTCCAGCTACTCAGGAGGCTGAGGCAGGAGAATCACTTGAACCCGGGAGGTGGAGGTTGCAGTGAGCCAAGATTGCACCACTGCACTCCAGCCTGGGTGACGGAGTGAGACTGTCTGCAAAAAGATTTAAAATTAAAATATTGCTAAGGAAAAAAAAGTCTTTTTTTTTTTTTTTTTTTCTTTTTTTGAGATGGAGTCTTGCTCTGTCGCCCAGGCTAGAGTACAGTGGTGCAATCTCAGCTCAGCTCACTGCAACCTCTTCCTGCTGGGTTCACACAATTCTCCTGCCTTAGCCTCCTGAGTATCTGGAATTACAGGCATATGCTACCATGCCTGGCTAATTTTTGTATTTTTAGTAGAGATGGGGTTTCAGCATGTTGGCCAGGCTGGTCTCGAACTCCTGACCTCAAGTGATCCACCTGCCTCGGCCTCCTAAAGTCCTGAGATTACAGGCATAAGCCACCGCACCTGGCTACTGAGAAAAACTTAAGATGATCTAAATAAAGAGACCGTGTTCATGGGTCAGAAGGTTCATTATTGTTAAGATGGCAGTTCTTCCTAAATTCATCAGTAGATTCAGTACAATCTCAGTGAAAATTCCAGCAGACTATTTTGTAGAAATTGGCAAGCTAATTATAAAATGTATATGGAAATGCAAAGGATCAAACTAACTTTGAAAAAGAGCAAATCAAGACACTATGATAGTAATATAAAAGTAGATATAGAGGCTGGGTACAGTGGCTCACATCTGTAATCCCAGCACTTTAGGAGGCCGAGGTAGGAGGATCACTTGATGCCAGGAGTTTGAGACTAGCCTGGGCAATATGGCAAGACCTCATCACACACACATATATATATATATGTTTTTGTTTTGTTTTTGAGATGGAGTCTTGCTCTGTCACCCAGGCTGGAGTGCAGTGGTGATCTCGGCTCACTGTAACCTCTGCCTCCTAGGTTCAAGTGATTCTCCTGTCTCTGCCTCCCAAGTAGCTGGGATTACAGGTGCAACCACCATGCCCAGCTAATTTTTGTATTTTTAGTAGAGACGCAGGTTCACCATGTTGGCCAGGCTGGTCTTGAACTCCTGACCTCGTGATCTGCCCACCTCAGCCTCCCAAAGTGCTGGGATTACAGGCATGAGCCACCGCATCCAGCCTACAAAAACTATTTTTAAATTAGCCAGATACGGTGGTGCACACCTGTAGTGCCAGCTACTGCTGTGAGCTATGGCCACGCCACTGCACTCCAAAGTAATAACCTGTCTCCAAAAAAAAAAACAAAACAAAACAAAAGTAGACAAACTTATAAATAGTAAAAGACAGAGTCCATAAATAGATTCATACATATATAAACAATTGATTTTCAGTAAAAGTACAAAGGTAATTCAGGAGAGAAAAGAGTTTTTAACAATGCTACTGGAACGATTGGATATTCATATGCAAAAGGAAAAAACCTCAATCCATACCTGTTACATATATAAAAATTAACTCAAAATGGTCCATAGACCTAAATGTAAGGGCTAAAAAAATAACACTTCTAGCAGAAAACATAGGAGAAAATCTTTATGACCTTGGTTTTTCAGAGGTGACACCAAAATGGTTTTTTGGCTTCATCAAATAAAGACTTGCTGTTGCTTGAAAGACACTTTTAAGACATGAAAAGACAAGCTACAACCTTGGAAAAAAATTTTGCAAATCATGTATCTGATAAAGGACTTTATATATTCAGAATATATAAAGAATTCTTAAAACTGAAAAATAAGAAAACAACCCAATTAAAAATGGGCAAAGAATCTAAATAGACATTTCTCCAAAGAAGATATACAGAGGTCAAATAAACACATGAAAGATTCTCAACGACTTCAGGTGTTAGAGAAAGCAAATTAAACCCAAAAAGAGATACAATATACCTATTACAATGTCCAAAATTAGAAAGACTGACCATACGAAATGTTGGCAAGGCTGTGAAAGAACTGGAACCTCATACACTGCTGGTGGAAATGTAAAATGTTACAACCACTTTAGAAAACAGTGCCAGACTCTTTAAAAGTAATGCTTACACATACCATATGATACATTCTACTCACAGGTATTTACCCAAGAGAAGTAGAAGCATATGTCCGTATAAAGAATTTTATGTTCACAACACCTTTATGTGTAAATAAATACTGGAAACAACCCGAATATCTACTAATAGATGAATGGATAAAAAAAAAAAGTTATGCTGTATTTATACAATGGGATACTAAGTGATAAAGGAACAAACTTGATATATGCAGCAACATAGTTGAATGATGAAATTATGCCGAACAAAAGAAGCCAGACATAAAAGAATATGTAGTGTATGATTCCATTTATATGAAACTCTAGAAAATGCAAGCTAATATAGAATGTCAGAAAACTGATCAGTCGTTGCAGGAGTGAGGTATAGAGGGGCACAAGGGAGAAATTATTACAAGGGCCTTAAGGAGACTTTTGGTGATGATGGATTTGTTCACTATCTTTATTGTGATGATGGTTTCACAGTTATATACATAATCAAAACCTCAAATTGCTCACTATAAGTATGTGCAGTTTATAGTATGTTAAAGCTGTTTTAAAAAAAATAAGAAAGCCCAAAAGAAAATAGGACTCACTACTGGAATTCTTACTACTCTAGTAAACATTACAGAAAAACTATGTAATTCTATAAATTAATCACAGATACTATATTTTAAAATACTTCAGTGGGGCCAGGCGCAGCGGCTCATGCCTGTAATCCCAGCACTTTGGGAGGCCGAGGCGGGTGGATCACCTGAGGTCAGGAGTTCAAGACCAGCCTGGCCAAGATGGTGAAACCCCATCTCTACTAAAAATACAAAACTTAGCCAAGCATGGTGGCACATGCCTGTAATCCCAGCTACTCAGTGGGCTGAGGCAGGAGAATCACTTGAACCCAGGAGGTGGAGGTTGCAGTGAGCTGAGAAGCACGCCATTGCACTTCAGCCTGGGCTACAGAACGAAACTCCCTCTCAAAAAAAAAAAAGAAAGAAAGAAAGAAATACTTCAATGGATATTTTTAAAAGCAAAGAACCTTTTGTAAAAGTAGTCTTGACTGTTGAATGCATCTTTTTCATGACTGCTATTGTGATATATTGTGTTTCCTTAAAGTGGATATACATCAATTCGGCTGGGATAACGACAGCACAATTCCACATCTCTGTAAGAGCTGAGCAACTATAGCATTATGGCGATTGTGCTTTGCCTTGAAGTGGCAGAAGGCAGATGCAGTAGCTGACTACTGAGTCTTCAGCGTGCAGACAGTTTGGTGCACTTGTTAAATATGTATTGTGATTTGATGTTTACTCTACTTGGCATCTCAGCCAAATTTCACCTTAGGAACTTACATGTACTTCATCAAGACATTAGAAATACTTCAAAATGATTCATTTCCTCTTAACACAAATCTAAATTAGTCCTTGCATGGAGACTATTTACATGTGAAAGTTCCTTTTCAGCCTTCTAACAAAATCAGAACCACCAAGTTTTAAAATACCAGTGTGTTTTAAATGTTCTATTAAAAGATCTGGCTTTGTTACCATGGGGTAAAAGAATGCAGTAAGTAGGAAGGATAAAAGTCAGCTGTGGAACTTGACTTTCCAGATATGTTTCTTGAGCTCATTGTACAGAGTAAGCAGAAACATGCTGATTGGCAATTCTCCTCTTTCCTGCCATGCTCATGGCAGTGGGACACAGGAACCATGATGTTCTTTCTCACCTCCTCTCTCCAGTCCTACAACTGTGGTGACTCAGCCTTTCTTTCTTTCTTTCTTTCTTTCAGGGTGTGAACGGCATGTCTGTGGATGAGAAGCCTGACTCCCCCATGTATGTATATGAGTCCACAGTCCACTGCACCAACATCCTCCTGGGCCTCAATGACCAGCGGAAAAAGGATATTCTCTGTGACGTGACTTTGATCGTGGAAAGGAAGGAGTTCCGGGCCCACCGGGCTGTGCTGGCCGCATGCAGTGAATACTTTTGGCAGGCGCTGGTCGGACAGACAAAAAATGACTTGGTGGTCAGCTTACCTGAGGAGGTACAGTAATTTGGTTTGTGTGATTGTTAATGAATGTTTATTGACTTACAGAAAACTGGCTGAGTAGGAGCTAGAAGATGTACTAGGTGCCATGTCCCCACTCAGGAGCTGATGTCCAAGTCACACGTTACGTTTGTGGCATTGTCGGTTTCTATTTGATACACTTAAAGTCTCAGAGGCACAGAATATGAATATGTTTCTTGAAGCGAACTGAACCTCACCTGCGGCTCAGTCACTTGTAGTTTCTAGTTCACTTACCCTTCAGGTTTTGAGTGGTTCAGCCTAAGTTTGGCACAGTCCTAGATGTGGGATCTGAATCATTGCTATGATTTCTGTCTTTCAGATGGTGTAAGGATCACTAGATTTCCCTTGAGAGTAAAAGATTGAAAGCATTCACAGCACCTTCTTTGCTTGGGGGAAAAATAAAAGCAACTAGTAATTTTCACCGTTAATTCAGTAAGATTCTAAGAAGTGTAAATTTGCTTTTCTCACCATTGTTGAAAACAGCCCACTCAGGTTTCTTAATTACATCAGTGAGTACGGTTATTTTGGCACTTTGGGGACACTAGTAGCTGGACCTCGTCTGTCCAGAGATGACTTTTAATTGGATGGTTTAAGTTGTAGGAACCCAAAAGATAAACTTTACAGTGACAAACCATTAAATGGTCACCCTTTGAGCCATGTATACACTTCCTCTTAGTTCATCATCCTGACTTCTGTCATTCCTATGGGACTAAAGGTAATATTTTGTGTTTGTGCAGAGTCATTCCCTGTGAACCACCAGCACAGTGTGCAGCTCTTGGGCCACCACCAACAGTTGCACAAGCTGTGTACTCTGTAACTCCCAGGAGTACAACTCACATCCATAGTTTTTGCAAAGAGATTCCTTAGAGTTGTGTAGTGTTGGACTAAGCAACTCTTCACAGCAATCTTAGGAGAAACCAAAGACCCCATCACCCAGATATGATGCTGATGGTTACAACCAGCATTAAATCCCAGAGGTCACAAACCAGATGCCTTCAGGGGCCTGGCAAATAATACAAAGGAGTGAAGTAGGTTGTATATAGGACAGGAGGAAGTGACGGGGCACTCACCTGCTCCACCAAAAGGCATCTACATTCAACATAAAAAACAAGAAGCCAGGTGTAGTAGAGTGCACCTGTAGCCCCAGCTACTCAGGAGGCTAAAGCAGGAGGATCCCTTGAGCCCAGGAGTTCGAGACAAGCCTGGGCAACATAGCAAGACCCCATCTTTAAAAAAATAATACTTTGGGAGGCCAAGGCAGGCAGATCATGAGATCAGGAGTTTGAGATCAGCCTAGTCAACATGGTGAAACCCCATCTCCACCAAAAATACAAAAAATTAGCCAGGCGTAGTGGTATGCGCCTATAATCCCAGCTACTCGTGAGGCTGAAGCAGGAGAATCACTTGAACCTGGGAGGCAGAGGTTGCAGTAAGCCAGGATCATGCCATTGCACTCCAGCCTGGGTGACAGGGCAAGACTGTGTCTCAAAACAAACAAACAAAAAGAATAATTAAAAATTTAAAACACTATTTGTGTTTGTCCATTTGACAGACAAGACATGGGTAGTGGAGGTTTCTTCAGATCCCAGTCCCTTGTTAAGCAACATCTGCTGTTACCCCTGCTGAGCAGGAAAGCAGCCAGCTGATGAAAATGAGGACTGGGGCCAGGTGCAGCAGCTCATGCTTGTCATCCTGGTACTTCAGGAGGTCAAAGTGGGAAGACCACTCGAGTTCAGGAGTTCAAGACTGTCTTGGGCAACACAGGGAGACCCCATCTCTACAAAAGATTTAAAAACTAGCTAGATGTGGTGGCACACACTGTGGTCTCAGCTACTCGGGAGGCTGAGGGGGGAGGATCGCTTGAGCCCAGGAGATTGAGGCTGAAAGTAAGCCATAATCACACCAGTGCACTCCAGCCTGGGTGACAGAGTGAGAACATGTCTCAAAAAGTAATAAATAAACAAATAAATAAATAAGGACTGTATAAACACTAGCATTTTCACGTTTGTATCCTTGTTACATACTCAACATAGAGTGCTCCATTACCACTCCGCATCCTGCTAATAAGTAGGTAGCTAGAGAGATCCTGACACTAGAAGCAAAAGGACAGATTAGCTAAATGACATACTGGGGCTGGGGTAAGGAGTGGAGCACTGGGTACCAAGTGACGGGAAAGCCAAGGAATGGCAGCTGCAGCATAGCCAGGGGATCCTGAGCTGGCCTTTCCTTAACTGTGCTGTTGGGGACATACTTAACTAGCTGCCCTGCCGTGAAGGCTAGGTGAGATGATAAATACAAAAATTCTCAGCACAGCCCTTATCCTCTAGTAGGCATTTGACAAATATAGGTCTCTTTTTAAAGGCAGAGTCTTGCTCTGTTGCCCAGGTTGGACTGGAACTCTTGAGCTCAAGGGGTCCTCCAGCCTTGAATTATTTATCAAAAATGCAATACCAAGGCAGTAAAATGTAAAGGAAACTGGGATACACATGTATATGACATAACCTTAAAGTTTCTTTTTAGATCAAATCCCTGATAATTGCTTATTTCCATGGCATTGGAAATGGCATTTTAAATAAGAGGCACACCGTATAGACATCACACAAAAATCTATTTGGCCTTTTAAGTGAGAATTTGCTGTGTGTTCTCATTTAAATGAGAATTTGCTGTGTGTTGATTTTCTTTCTTCCTCCCCCTGTAGAATGATTATCCTCCCTGCATCATCTACATCCTCGAAACCATTGAAATATTCTAGTTGCTCACGTATCTGAAATCTTCAGGTAGAACTAGATCCCTTTTTTTCTTATGAAACGCAAACTCGTATTTTCAGTAATCCAGCTGTAAGTATCTTATTGATGGAACATGCAAGCCAACCCCAGTGGCATTTTCTTTTGAGGCTGTGTCATTGTTTCTAAGGCCTCCTTTGAAGAGCCCTCTCCCTCTGCTCAGGGCACCTGCTGTGGACCCACATGCTGGGCATTGTTTTCCTCGTCTTACTGTGTGCACACTGAAATGTCCCTGCAGGCTCAATGGAAATTGTCACACTTAGCTCAGTGAATGGTTTCATAGAATTTGAATTAAGTGGTAAATAAGCAAATATTCTAAACACTACCTTAGAAAGTAGCTGTCTGGAACTAATTGGCATTTGGTTCATAGGATGTAAGAAAAAGCACTAAATTAGCTCCTTGGAAATGTTTCAACTTCATCATAATCCTATCGCCGAATTTGAATCAACTTCTGGCCCTGCCCTCCTCTTACTCACACTTGACCCATCTCCACTTCCTTGGCAGCCAATCGCTGCACTCCTCAAGGGGGCCCACACCGCCAGGTCTGAGAGTTCCTCCTAGGAACCTGAAACTTCCCAACACAAACTACCACCCTCCCACCCCACTCCTCATCCACTTCAGGCAGATCTGCCCTCCAGCGACTGTCCAGTTGTGCAGTTCCACCCCCAAATCCCAATTCCTGATGAGCCGCGCCATTACCAGCACGTTAGAGCCACTCACAGAGGCCAGCACAGCCTCTAAACTGAAAGAGAGACAAAAATAGAGGGAGGCCTCCTTCTAGAAATCAAGGAATAATTGAATTAGCTTGCTTTAAAAAAAAAATGGCAATCCCTAGAATTTCTAGGACTTGAGTGTTGGTTCCCCACTGAAAAACATACCCAGGTAATTGTGTCAGCAAATAGTAGGAGATAAGCCACTGTACTTAGTACTTTCATTACATAATAAAGCAGATCATTCAATTTTATAGTGAGTCAGTGTATGTTGTGCTAAGAGATGAAGAGAAAGTAGTTGATGTGCTAAGCATTGCAGGGCCGTTCTTCCACTGCTCATGAGTATGACACCTCCTTAGCTGTAGTCATGGAGGCCATTTTGGGTTGGATGCCAGCCATGAGGGAAGTAGCATCATGACTATGAAGTTCAGTCTTACGGCGTGTCGAGTTCAGAGGACGGGGAGGGGATGTGCTTCCTTAGAAGATGCTCAGCCCACAGTGGGTTTGCACATCAACCCTCTTCTTACGTGGCTGCTTGGCTGCCTCACAGAATGCTAGGGGAACAGCGGCTGTTAAAAGGTAACTGCCAAGGTCTCACCACCTTTCTCTGGCTTGCTTCCTGTGTCCTTGTACCCTCTAGAGAAGAGGACGGGTTCATGCAGGGAATGGCTACAGGCTGGGGGTGAGTATGGCCCCTGCAGGTAGACCTTATGTTTTCCTCGGTATAAATAGATTTCAGCTTGTGCTGGCTTGTGCTCTCTATCTTTTGCTTTCTCTCTCTCTCTCAACATTTTAGGGCAAATCTCACTTTTCAGTGCTATACAGGAAAGAAAGCTGACCCAGAAGGATTCTAAAGAAAAGGCATTTGTTGTTAAGTCTTAACCACAGGCTGCAATAAAGAACATTCCTGCAGCAGTACTGCCAAGCACAGATGCCAACAAGGAAATTATGGAATCTTCTTGTCTGGAAGTTTTTAGAGGATATGAAAGCTGTTAATGTCTCTGGGATGGTTTAGGTTCAGTCTTTTAAGGAAGCAGTAAGGCAGTCATGATTATCTTTGGGCAACCCTTTCAGCATGTAATAATACAGAAAGTAGTTAATGCCACCGTACAGAGTGACAACAGCATTCTGAGCCTGAGGGTGAGGGCAGGGGAAGGTGGAATTTTGGTGGGAAACAGGGGTGAAGTCTTCAGGAAGTGGCATGACCAGGATGAAAAGGGCAAAGCACTCACCTAGCCCAGAGCACAGAGCCTGCCCTTTGGCCTCACCCCATTCACCTAAACAAAACTCTGAAGAAGACACCACCACTCTTTGCCTGAAAAAGAGTAATGGGCAGATTTTTTTAAACTAGGATCATCAGCCATAAGGGGCTGGGAAAACCACACTCTGGGCCTTGGAATCACTGCATGTGAGGTCTTCAGCAAACCAATCCTCCTCTCTGGGCTTCTGTTTCCTCACTCATTTATTTATTCATTCAACAAAT